TCCCGTAAGGCATACTGCCTTCCAGCATATCAGCCTGCAGAGTAATGTTACAATGGGACTTTAAAGCTTTTCGAAAATACTTCTTAAATATGTATAAAATGTTTTCCAATAAAAAAAATTCTTGAACTTATTTTATAAATTGTATACTTTTGATACCACACGAGAAGTATATAGAGATATAATTTAAATTTATTAATTATTTTAAAAATAACAAGAATTAAATGAGTTGATATATTTAACACAAATCAGTCAAATGCTAAAATTATAAACTACTTTAAAAATAAACATAAGCGTTTTTAACAACCTACCGAATACCCAAGAGTGATACCTATATACATTAAAAAAAAAACGATATTATTTATATATTTGGTTTCTCTATATGTTTATGTGTTACTTTAAAAGCTTTAACCATTTGTTACACACTTGTTATGTGTCTTCGTGTCAAGTAGTATTTGCAAGGTATTTTTATCCGGAACCTTTTAATATCATATTATAAACAACCTTTCCACTGTACCTGCAGGTTGGAGGCAGTGCGTGCACAGCCTGCGAAAGCCGAGCGCCCACATTAACTACAAGGATAATGTCGCCCGGCGTCCGCCCGCCGGCTGCGGCATGAAAAAATAACAAGAAGTTGCCTGGCATCGTTCATTACGAGCCCGGGCTCAGGCTCAGCCCTTTAGCCAGGTGCGTGGATGCGGCAGGACGAGGCAGGACGAAGCAGGACGAAGGGAGGGCAGAAGCAGTCAGGAGCTGGGGGCACAAGACGAGCGACAAGACAAGGCATCTGAAATGTTTTATTGTTGTAACTGTCGCCCGGCGGCATAATATATAGTCTGGGACATATCCTGGAGCGCGACTCCGCCGCTGACACAAATCACATGCAACCTTTGGACCCCTCGCCTCCGGGAAAATGAAGTGGAACTGGCGGCGTTGGACATTTTTGGTGCTCTCCTCGTGTACGTGCCCGCATTGGTCCTGTATTTGGACTTGAGTTCGGGACACCAAATTATGTAAGCTTAAAGGGGGTTTTAGTGCTATGTGGGTATATCTTACCGGTAAAACGTTGCCCTTTGTCTGCGTTTGCCGTCTTCCGTTTTAACAAATGTTTTGTTAGCGCGCCGCTCTCTCAAGTTTTCCGCTTGCACAAATTATGCGGAAACGGAAGCGACAAAAGGAAAACCACAATTGGAGGGGCGTCCTGTGTGTCCTGTACGTATGTGTGTGTTTGAGTGGCACGTGTCCTGCTCCCTCATCCACCTGGACCCACTTTGTCATCAGCTTGAATTAGGACTATATTCAATTTTCATTATTAAATAATGCCCAGGCATTGATGCGTACGTGCGGCTCGACTAAATTAAATGCACATCGGAATTTATGGGGCCCGACCGAAATGACAAATAGTGCTTGGCTGATCCGCCCAAGACACACAAGGTAAAACTGTAATTAAATTTGTCCAAAATTCGGATGCACATCCTGTGTGTGCGAGGCAAAGGAGCCATAAATCTGGGCATATAAAACCAAGGCACCGCCCCAAGCTCACAGCGATAAATCAAAACGAAATTCACATAATTTTTATCGTTTTGCACAATTTTGCATGTGAGCATACATACTCCGCCCACGCTCGAATCGGTTTTCAAGTTAAACGTTTCAATAAAGTCGAGCACCTGTCAATAAATCGAAATTGCCTCTCGTATTATTTTTATCGGCTACGTTTCGTTTACATTGCACAAGATGCTTCACTTTCAGCACAGCCAGCGGCCACGCCTGATATATATATATATATATACATATCTCTATATATATATCTAAGCCACAGTCATGTGTGTGTATGTAGGTCGGGAAAGCGGAAAAGCGACCTTAGCTATCTCTCACCGCCTCGTCATCGCCATCATCTTCTTCCAGTTGAGCGGATCCTGCGGGTGAGTCCTTCCTGCTGAAATCCCTTCTCCTGTGGTTTTCAGCTCCCGACTTAGGTTTTTCAACTTCTTCTCTTATTTCTTCGATGGTCGAGTTCCTTTTAATTCAGTTTTCGGCAATCGAATTGTGGACAGTTTTCATGGCTTTAATTATGGCCCTTTGAAGTCGCCTTCGCCGACGCTTTAATTTTAATCCACTTGGGCGCTTGAAAGCGGCCAAGTACAATTTTTACGAGCGCCTCCCTTATGAAAATTTAATAAGCCGGCAACGAGGAGAGTGCGCATAATGAGAGTGCCAGCCTGGGCCTGGCAAAATCGGGACATGCCAGGACAGCCAGGACCACATCTCATCCGAATCTGACTTCTCGGATGAACCAAACCTCACCCGCCCACATATGTCATGTAAAAAGATTGTTTAACAAGCAGAGCCAAGGAGGAGAAAGCTTAAAAATGTAATGCGTTCCTCGTTTTCACATGGCTGCCATCGAATGAGTCACAGTGGGCTCTAAAGTCGACTTAAAATTAATTTAAATTAAAAGAAATTAAGGAATCACCACTAAACAAGTATGAAAATTGTTTTTATTTTTAATGGCCTTTAAAATCTATTGTTGTTAAGGAAAATAATTCTAAGTTATTTTAGTATTTATTTTAATACATTAAAAGTCCTTTAACTCATGAGATATATACTTTGGGAATATCTTAAAAAAATGACCTCGAGCCGGAAAAACTCAAAAATTAAACATACATCAAAGGTCGCCAACAAACAAAATTTTAAAAAATTAAAATAGAGCGAAGATTTTGGTATATCCTGTGCGGACCGATTTTGCTTGACCTTGGTTATTTTCAATGACAAAAGATGTCCTTACGGATATATCTTTGTTTTAAGTATTGTTGGAATGCTTGTTTTTTATCCCTAATAGGTAACAATTTATTTAAAAATCCATAAAAAAGTAACCCTCACTTAAAGCCCACTGTTTCGGCCTTGTGCAAGACGTTGCTCTCGTTGTGCCCAGCCAACAAACAGGCGAAATATTATTTACGAGCTGTCAAATCCCAGTTAACATGCCTCACACAAGGACGAAGGACGTCTTCGGTGTGTTTGTGTAGTTGTTTGCTCGATGCGGCCGCATAGTTCGCTAAGAGACAGCTGAAGATGCGCTGCCACAGTTTCAGATACACAGTCTCAGATACAGATTAACAGCAACGGTGCCAGATACAGATACGTTTTGCGGATACAGTCACAGTGCGCGACTGTGAGATACTCTTACGGCATTCAGAAAGTGTGCCAGAACGTCTGGCCGAAGATCCTTGAAGCGGACTTGAGCGGGCGGTGTAATGAAATAAAAAAGCATAAATGAAAGCGAGGCCAGGCCACGAAAATAATTTAAATTTATGTACTTGTGCGTATTTATTTGTGCGTTTGGCTTTTATTTCCTACGCGACGTCTCTTGATTTGTTTGTCTCGCTCCCACACTCGTCCTCTTTAGCGCAACCTCTTCCTTTCTCCTTTCCAGAGCAACAGCAGAAAGCATTAAATTCAATTTGCTTATGTGAGTATCTGTGTGTCTGCCACTCAGCGTCAGTTACAGCGAACGAGGGGGGGGCGAAAAGTAGGAGATGGAGGGCCAAAGGACGAAGGACCAAGGGGAGGGACAAGGCCATGCCAATGCACTATGGGGAATTTGCCCGATTTTTTGGAATAAATGTATTTTTTAAAAGTATGCCGATTTTCTATTTTTTTTTTTTAATGTATTAAGAAAACATCAAGCTGTATGGTAACATACCGCAAATGTTAACTTAAAAGTCTAGTATTTAAATACCAACTGTTAAAGTCAGCTGTTGCAAGCGCACATGGTTTGTTTACATTTTGCTTAACTTTGAAGCTCACTTTCAAATCATTATCTCTGCAACAAAATAACGTAAGACAGTCAAATTTGAAATGATTACCAATTCTTAAGGTATGTTCTGTTCAAAAATACTTATATATTGCTTAATATGTGCGTCCAATTTTAACCATTTGAATATGTAGCAGGTGATGTTTTCGTTTGTGTTTTGGAAAGAAAGTTAAACTTTCAATAGAGTTTTAAAAAAATGTTTAACTTTGTTCAGTGAGTGTCTATATCCATGTTGTAGAGTCATTAATTCCGAATTTAGAACATATTGTCTCATCGTGCGCTTCGTGCGACTTTTCGCGTAATTTAATTTTTAAGAAACCAATCTTTTGATCAAAAACGCAGCCCTGCTGGAAGTGTGGCATAGGCAAAAGGGCCTTCGAGAAAAGAAGATGCCGTATTCACTTTTGTTAGCAAGCAAGTTGATCCCACAGTCGAATCGCCAACTTTACAGATGTTTTTGAGAGAGCCATGGATACTTCAGACCCCATAATTTCATCTATGAATTTGAAGAAGCTGCTTTCTCTTCTACCAGAAGTCATTCAGTTGTTATTATGCCAATATGAACCTGGAGACGGGTCTTTAGATGTTGATGATTATAAAGAACAAAACAATTATGATTTTTTGTACAACATTGAAATTGAAAATAAAGAGCATATAAAGCTAAATTTGTAATAAAAAAAAAAAAAATTTTGGTATACTTTCACTTTTTTAACAGGTGTGTATATGTATGTAGAACACTATAAAAAAACCTCACTGAAATATGTTACATAGTTCGCGAGTTATTAATTTATTCCAAAAAATCGGGCAAATTCCCCATAGTGCAATGGCGGCGACCTGTTGTGTTGTTTAAGGAATTACTTAACATGGTAAAAGCATGTGCATGTATATGTGCCGGCTGCTTATGCATGTATGTGCTTAATAAATATTTCGGTCCGTCCTTTTTTGATTATATCCTGGAACAGTTAAGAATGGGTAGCACAAATAAGGCAGGCATTTATGGTTGAAGTGTCCTTAAACCAAACCAATAATTGCAATTGAATTCATTGTTTTAATTTTGAAAATATATGGAGAAAATATTTCCGAATTTATTCTCTCTAAAGAATTTAAAAACTATATTTGTCTCGAAAACACAAAAATGGTTCTTAAAAATGTAGAACACTAGGACGAAATAGAAAGGCAGCCTACAAAATTTGTATATCAACTTTATACGAACTTTATTGAAATCTATCCAAAATTTAAAACAATATTAATGCAAAAATTTAAGTTAATAATGACGTTAGGTAGCCACTACTTTTTCTTGTCCTTATCATCTTTAGCCTTTGTTTCAGTAGTCTTTTTATCATCTTTGGCTTTCACCTCTTTATCACTGTCTTTTGCTTTCTTTTCATATTTGGCCTTTACTTCTTTATCTTTTCCCTTTGGTTGATCACCTCTCTTTTTGTCATCTTCTAACTTTAAGTCTTCCTTTTTCTCCGGCTTTGGTTGATTTTCCGGTCTATAGAAAAATTATACATTCGACTTACGACTTTAATTGAAAATAAAAGAAAAACTTACAATTCCAGAACGGAAATGGGATCAATGTCTATATCGGGCAGCACAAATTTGGGAAACTGGGTCAGATCGATGCCCTCACCGCCACCATACTGAAGAGCCAGGCGTTCGAGGGCCTCCTTCAGTTCCGCCTCGTATTCCGGCCCGGCATCTATGGGCTTTCCTTTGGGACTCTTCAGTCGGTACTCACGCACCTTGTCCAGGAAAACGTGGTAAACGGGATCCTTATAACGCAAGGATGCCGAAACCATAAGGCTCCGGCGTACCACTAAGTTTGGCTTTAATATTTTAGCAAACATTTTTGTGTGAGGTTCGTTCACTGTTGTTTCGATAGTGTTCTGAATTTGTGTACAAAAATATAGAAACCAGCTTTCCCTGGGGTGAGTTGATCAACAATTCTTGTTTAAACGGAAAAATTTTGAAATTAAAATCAATAGTATATTCATTTGAATTCTTAAACCACATTTAATAAGACAATCTAAAATCTTTTTTTAAATTTTAATTTAAGTATCTGCTACGTTTATCAAGCCCCCAACTTCGGCTATCACATCTCGAGTGCTCCTTCGCATCAGGACGAATATTTTTCGCTTCGCTGCTGCCCACTCTCTTTTATTCCCCAGCGTGTAAGATTTTCTTTCTGTCTGTCCCGCCTTATCTCCGCATGTCCGGGCTTGACAATGCGTGTGCCATCTCGACAAGTTTTTCTCAAAAAGTGAGACAAGTGGAAATCCGTTAAAGAAATACGTGAAACACATAAAGGCGATGATGTTGCTGCCGTCGAGTTGTTGCTGCTGCTGTTGCTGTTGCTGCTGCTGTTGCTGATGCGCACGGCAGCAACATAAATATATGCGCGTGTGTGGACAAAGAAATGTCGTCGGCAGCAAATAAAAATTAATTGAAAAATGTTTATCAAGGACTTTGCAGGGGAAAAATTTAAATGCACAGTGAAGAGAAAAAGGAAAGAGCAGAGAGCCGCGAGGCAAACTCTGATAATTGATGGGAAGACATGTCTGTGAAAATATAATTAATATAAATTTCTATCACCTCCCCCGCTGGCAGAGCAAATAAATGGATCATTGTCGAGTGCGAAATGAGGAATGCACAGCTTCTAAGCCAGGCTTAATCGCCATTGCCACATGCGGCTCATTTCAAATGCAGCCGGCACTCACGCTGCGTTTCGCCTCCGCCATTCGAATTAAAACATATATGTATATATATATATACTGTGCAAAATATCCACGCCGAACTAAAAATTATGCAACGCATTAAAAATTTAACAAGCGCTTATCCGCTTAGTGCAATGCCAGCAACACGATGGGGTTTTTTCCCCCCGCGCCAACGTCACTTTCAATATTTAAATTTTGACATTTTCTGCATTTGACGCGGCTATAAAAAAAGAGGGAAGGGTGTCGCGGGACATGGACAATATTGCGTCAATGCAAATTGGGCAGAAATAATATGCAAACATTGGCACAAACAGAATGGCAACCTAATTGGCAGCAATAACAAAGTTGGCATGTATTACTGACTGCCAGAGAGAGGAAATTCTCTAATACGTGTTTTGAATTGGCCAAGTTCCTAATGCATACCGCAATTTTAATTGGCTCAAAGAAGTTTTGGGCTCGGACTCTGAAACCAATCACTACTTTCCTCATTTATATTTTAGAAGTCTATTATAATCTTTAATAGAAAGTTTTATAAAGCATCAACAACATTCTCCATTGTTTTAAATTGTGAAGGAATTATATCAGATTTATTTAACTTGCTTAAGATGTTATTACAAATATTTTAAAATATTACCCTGCTCAAATATACAATTCTTCAAACAAATTAGGTTAATATGAATGTATTTTTTCTATTTTAGTAGTATCAATAATTTAGGGTGCTCTACAAAGTTTCTATTTAAGCTTTCGTTGCTGAAAACAAGAAAATGTGGAACTGTTATTGCCTGCTTGTGGAATATATCAGAGCTTTTTTGTCTGCACCAGAGCACATGTATCTCAATCTTCATTGCGACTACAGCCAAGGATTAAGCAGTTGTGCTGCGGCCACGCCCCCGCCATTAAAGTAGTTTCCCCTAACTTGGTTAGAATTAATATTTAGCTGAGCGCAACTTTATTTGCAGTTGGCAAATGCTTTAACCTCCCCCGCAGACAACAAAGTGAGCAAAGTATCCTGCGGTTCCCTGCCGCTCCTTGAATGTGTATCTGTGTGTATCTGTGTGTGTGTCTGTGTGGGCGGACATGGTTGGGTGTGCGTGTTTTAAAATGCAACAGATGCGCCAAATTAATGCGACCATTAAATTGTATTAGCGTGTGCAAAATGTAAAGCGCATTTGCCAGCAGATTGCTCCAGCCAAGTGCGAGTGTATCTGAGTGCGGTAGTCTGGGATTGCGGGATTCCGAGGGGGGAAGCACTGCAAATGCATCCAACAGTATCACCGCAGTTTCTGTGCGTTGTATTCGCTGCAAATTTGTGTGTGAATAAACATGAGAGTCGTTGCATTAATGCGCATACAAAAGCCAACAGCGCCGAGTCCTTGCCGGCGTAACAGCTATTCCTGCGTAGGAACTAGGATTTAAATATCCCTACAGGGCGTTGTTGGGGGGGTTTTCAGATAGACGATAGCGGGGATAGAGAGCTGCTCAATGCTGAAATATCACACAGCTGCAGCGGCGTCAAGTTTATGTGGCATGCCACAAAGTACACAGATACAGAATTACACAGGCAGCGAATGAGATACAAAACTGCATTTGCCGCTTTTTGCCCATGTTTGCGCTTTTCACAGCACTCTCATAAGTGCAGCTTCAACGCCAACAGCGCGGTTTCAAATAAAAATGATAAACTCAATTTTTAAACACATGGAAAGAAGGGAAGAAAAAATTAAAGCCTAATATCACATACTTCAAATTAATGCAAACATAATAGTTTCAAAAATAGATACCTATAACAAAAATGTAGATACAATTTTTTTTATAAAGGAAACGAAATATGTTTATATGCTTTTAAAAATATTGATACATCATGTATAGACATGTGTTTCATATAACATTTTTTAGGCTTGGTTTAACCAAGGGTCATAAAAAAGGTATCAGATAAAAGCAACTTGATATTAGGTTTTATTTAAGAGTAAAAAATGTAAATACTTTTAAAGGCCCGTAACTGAAACTTACACTACTCGAACTTTTTTGTCAGATTTTTTGGTTTGAGTTCATCATTAAAAGGTTAACACTGTCTTTATAAAGAAAAGTAAAAAAAATGACATTTAATGTTGAGGAAAAGGTTTAAATACTTTTAAAAAGCCTTTTATGTGTTTTTATGTAGTTACTCCTCTTTTTTCAGTGCAGCTCAAGGGATGCCAACTATCAGGCAGACGGAAGCGCTGTGCCATTTGCAGATATTTATTCATTAGCCATTTGGAATAATTTGTTGCCTAGCTTTGGGCGCTCGGCGTTTCGTGTTGCAATATTTGCAGTAACAATGGAGCAACTCCAATTGGAAGAGGGTGGAGAGTGCGCGGGGGAGGGGTGTTTACCACTAATAGGCTTCTAATTGGGCAGTCGCCGCCTTTTTGTTTGCCCATGCTTTCTTTTTTGTTGTGCTATTATTCGTTGTTTCGGCATTCCAATTAAAATGCATCTGGTGGTGATGTATCTGCACCCCGCCGCCGGCAGTTGCAAGTAATTTTAGCCACATATTGGCAAAGTGCCGCAAATAGAAGCAGCCGTGCTGGAGTTGCCCTTAAGCTGCACGCAGAGCTCATTAGAGCGAACCAAATCTGTGCTTAGTAGTGGTTCAGTTGGGTGGTCCGGGCTGCCATGTGGATGGGGTATGGGGTGTGTTGTACGGGGTGTGGGTGGTATTAGATCCATTAACAGTCTGTACCTGCTCGATTATACATTTCGGCCTGCCCCGAGGAAGATGCAGCTGCAGCTGGCGTTGATTTGGATTTTCGGCTGGCTGATGCGATTAAACAAAACTCGCTAATGGGTCTTACTTTACCGACTCGGTGGCGAAAGAATCAAGCTGATATCTAATGCATACACGCAAAAAAAATTGCTTAAAAATAAAAATCTTGATAAAAGGGTACTTCTGGTACTCTTAGACAATACAAATATGTTTTTAATATTTTAATTTTGAATTTTAATGCTTAAAATTGTCAAAAGTGAACTAAATCAAAGCTCAAATGAGTTTGGCGTGCTGAAAGATATATCTACCACTAGTCAATATGTATGTATATTCTGGTAGTGACAAATTTAACCACTTTGACAAATCAAAATAAAGTTACAGAAAAAATTTAAAAAAAATTATTTTTAAACAAATGACAAAAATGGTATTTTATGCAGATAAGCATGCTTAGAGCATGTTCATAAAAGGGCCAAGTTTCAATTCCCATGTGGCTCAATAAATTTCTTGGACAACACAAATATATAAACAAATATAATCTTTGGCCAAAATGTTTAAAAGTGTCAAAACCTAAAGTGTTTTTAAAGGTAAAGGACTACCAAATGTTATAAAATTATAACACCTCCTTCAGATACCAAAATGACGTAGTAAGTAAAGTTTTGTATTACAAATTTAGAATTTTTTGAAAAATTTAAATTAAAATTTGTAATAAATATAGATCGCATTTTCCTCTTCCTCAATCCCAATTTGACAGGCTATTTCGAGGTATTTATTTTTTCTGTGCATGTTTTCCCGACGCGATTGGGTCGTGTTTATGCCCCACGCCTGTTGCGGTCATAATTGTATTAATGAACACATGCCCTGCTCGACCCCACACAACCACGCAGGCGGATTGTATCTCACGGATGCCGAGATACGGCAGACAAAACACTGTGCATATATTTGCATAGGAATATTAATGCCATAATTATTTGCCACATGGACACAATGCACAAGATGTATGCAATATTTAGCATGTCAGTTAGTGCGAGTGTGTGGGTGTGTATCTGTGTGTCCCCTCTGCGGCGACCGTTGTAATTCCAATTGCATTTCAACCATTCAAGCAGTTCGCATGGCTGTGAAATATTTCGGCTTCACTTGCCAACTGATGCATTGTTGCTGCTGTTTTGGGGTTTTGCCTTATGTCGACGCACACAGAAACGCACTAATGCATAATGTAACTCAATTAATTTGGCCTGGCTATTATTTCAAGTAAATATGCAGCTCAGGAGAAGAATTTCAGCAGCAGCAGCAGTCATGCAGTCAATCTGTCAAATTTTCTTCCATCCTCATTCACTCTGTTTTGAAAGCCGAAAACCATTTTCCTTATCTCGGCTATTTTGCTACATTTTGGGCCAGTGACTAGTGAACTTGTAATTATATATTTATTAATCTGTAATTTCTGCTAATTATTGCGTTGATCAAATATTTACCTTCTG